AAATTGACACACTAAAGAATGAATTCTTCCTCAAGAGGCTGGAGTAAAATATACACCTCTTACAAGATAAACCATTTCCTGGTCATTCATGGAGAAGGTTGTCATATATCCTATCCAGTGAATTCAAAGGAACAGCAACATGAAGTTTTGTTTTGAAGGGGGAAATAGTTCAATAAACTGATGCCAATGATTTCTCAATTGTCTTAAGTACTCTAGAGAAATGTAGATACTCAGCAGAGAGAAAATAATTTATTTCCTTTGGAGTTTTCTTTTAAAGGCCAAGACTCCCAGACATCCTAGCTTGCTTCTCTAGAGCTATGTACTAAGCCAAGTAGAAGGTATTCCCTTTAGTACTTAAATCATAAAGTTAATTTTATACCAATTTATAAGTAAATAAAGAAAACTTTATATCCATTGTGAGACACTGCCTTCTTGCAGGTCTGATACGGTGTTAGTCACGTGGCTGCTGTCTTCAGTACAGGTGGCAGATCGGAAGCCACCCTGTGGGCATGTGCAGCGAATGGGAAGGTCATCTTAAGCATGGATCTGCAGAAACTCACTGCATCAGTAAGCTCCCCATTTTTCTTGGGGATTATGCAAAATGATGGTGTATCAAAGACTAATGAAACATCTGAAAAAATGTAATTGGAATACTTGTAATAAACCTATGTGTTCAGGAAAATAAGCTAAAAGGATCCATGAGACAAAAGTAATCATACATCATGTACTTATACCTGTGACTAGGAGGAGCAGTTCCTTTGGAGAGCTATGGGCAGTACAGAAATGGAAAAGGAACAGTGCGCTCATCCTCTAGAATAGGTAGGTCTCTAGAAACTCCTGCTGTAGACCTCCCACTGTCTCCACACAATCTGTCCTACAGCTTTATTCCCCACTCCTCTCTGCTTGTTCCCATCTACTCTCCCACACTGAGCTCACCTACCCCCAACCCAGGCCTTAATTCTTCCCACCTCCCTCCCATCCCCATTATCTGAATCACAACCTGCCATCCAAATCCAATTCACTCTTCCAGGACTAGCTCAAGCCCCTCTTCCTCCAAGAAGACTCCACAGACCATTCCAGCCTCCAGGGGCCACATTTTTCTATGAACTTACAGAGCTGATATGCCAGTCATTTGGGAAATGAACCCATAGTGTGTGACTGGTGGTGTGCTTTTGCTTAGCTTTCAATGTGTCCAGGTCTTATCTGACCAACCAGATTCTTACAAAAAGGACCTAACAGAGGATTCTGTCTCCCACACAGCACCACGCAAAGTCAGCACTTCATAAACACATCCTGATGGTGAATCTATAATTGCAATATAATAATGAAGTATGAGGTCAAGAAAGTCAGTCTTGGCCAGGTGCAGTGGCTCACACCTGTAATCCTAGCACTCTGGGGGGCTGAGGTGAGAGGAATGCTTGAGCTCAGGAGTCTGAGATTTCAGTGAGCTATGATGACGCCACTGCACTCTACCCAGGGTGACAGAGAAAGACTCCGTCTCAAAAAACAACAAAAAGGTCAGTCTCTTGAGGGCAATGACCAAGGCTTGTTGCTCTTTGTACCCCAACACAAAGTTAGCACATTCACTGGAATTTGATGAATGAAGGAGAGGCTAGAACTGTGAGCCAGTGGGAGAAGCCTAACTCCACAAAGGGTGGAGAAGGGAGAAGGAGATGGAGGGAGAAAGATGGGAAGCAAAGGAGGCAGCACAAGTGGTAAAAATCAACGTTGGGCCAGCAAGAGAAGCCGGCCTATATTTTATGGGGAAAAAGAGGCAAAGTGGAAGGCGAAGACAAAGGACAGAAGGGAAGGTAAAGGAGGTTTAAAGTCATCCTTCAGGAACAGAATGAGAGCAAGTAATTTTCCACCTAACTCTTTTGTATACTACACAGGTGAGGCTTCTGCCAAGGAGGTCTTGACACACAACTACTTCACAGCAAAGAGATTAATGGGGCAAAAAGAATAATTTTCATCTCTGCCACATTTATTTTGCTAACTTTGATGAGACAGAAAAGGACAAAAACTCAGAGCATTTTAAGATTCTGCCTAGATTTTTAAAAAATAGGGCATATGCCCCTAAAAAAAAAAAAAAAAAAAAAGAAGTGTCATTGTCATTAGGGAGTTTTATAGACAAAAAAGTGTTTTAAACAACATAACTGGGAGATATAATATAAGGTCTTTCAGAAAAATAGGAAGGTTAGATAAAGAAAGTTAGTACAAGAGAAATAAGAGAACCAAAAAACAAAAGGAGAACCATGACAGGTATCCTAGAGGAACACAATAATTTAAAACTTGGCCAATACAATTAGACATAGCCTTATAATATATGATGTCAGCAATCCAATCCAATGTGAAAATAAAAGAAATCAGAGAAATCTGTCCCTGGAAAAGGGTAGTGGCAAAAAAGATGGTTCAGGAGCATCTCTTATGAATTCAAAATCTGTTAAGGCACTTGTTTTCATAGGGGATCCTGCATGTTTCTTGGCTCTGATCATCAGATTGGAAATCAGATGAGGAAGCTCTCTCTTTTACAAATTCCCCCTCTAAGTAGCTCTATGAATGTTAATGCCAGTTCAAATAATGACAAAGCTACTATTTTCTGGACTCTGAGTCTTTGCTAGCGGCTGCGCTTACTCCTTATACCGCCCTGTGGGGCAGCCATGTGCTCCCACTGACAGAAAAGGAGATAAGGCTCAGAAAGGTTAACTCTCCTTACTTAGAAATGAGTAGAGATAAAGTTCAATCCAAGACCATTTGCCTTTCTTTCCATTGCACAACACTGCCCCTACATCTGATCACTAAGGGGTTCAAAAGCTCCACATATGAATTATACTCTTAATTCCAGGACCTCTGCTCTTTCCAAGTAAGAAGCACAGCTCTGAGTTGGAAGACAGGCAGGTGGGCTGAAGGGTTCCTTTTGTAAAGGTCTGGGCTAACCTGGCACAGCCAACAAGTTATCCACACCAGAAGGGACCAGAGTGGGTCCTTCCAGGCCTATGGCCTTGGGGTGGCCCCAAACCAGCCTCTGATGCAGAAGCGGAACGTGCACAGGGTCCCCGACACTGACAGAGGTTGCAGCCTTTAGGCTGTTCTCTATCTCCTGGGTTAGAAGACGTAAAATATCTTAAAATTTATGTCTTAATTTTAATTATATCTTAATTACTTATATCTTAATTTTAATTTGGGGGCCTAACTCTCCCCAAATTAAAGCCAAAGGGCAGGGGCAGGGGTGAGAGCCTTGGCCTGCTCTCATTCCTCTATATCTCTCCTGTCATATGTCCTTTCTCCTGCCCCAAGTACCATGACCTACTAAAAATGTTCTCGCTTTGTTTGAGACATCAGACCTAACTTCCTGAACAATGGGAATTGAAGACCACGTTTTCATATTATCTAGGTTTTTTATACCTCCCCTACATTCCTAACTCACTCCAGTCCTCCCTTAACATGGATTATGGAAAATAAGAGCTGGCCCAGGCTGGAGAGGCCACCAAATTCAAGCGCTTTATTCTGCAGAAACAGAGGTCCAGAGGTTGAAAGCCACACCTCTGACTGGCACAAGTTAGGACCAGGACCTTGTACCCTGACTCATAACTCAGCACTCTTTCCACTTCCCCAGCTCCAAACAGGAAATCAGAAAAGGGGGCAGAGTACTTTTTTATTTGTAAACCTCAACTCAAAGTGTGGGCATTGACAAGTGGATAAGACAGGGAAAGCAGGCACCAGAATGGCAGAGATGAGGTCATCCCCAGACTCTGGCCAGGGGCCACTTCCAACTGAAATGCTCCTGCCACAGGCATTTGAAGGTCATTAGAATGAGTGAGGGACTAAGTTAAAGAATTCAATGTAAGCCTCCACGCCATGCAGGCTCTGCTCTGTGAAACAACCTGCCTGCCCTTTCGTGGTATGGGGAAACAGGGACAATAGGGCAAAGAGTGGCCATTGGCCCAGGTGCACCTCGCCCCCTTCTGGAATCTTCCCTGACTACCTTAGTCACTTATCCATAGTCCTCACACACAGCATCCCCTGAAAGCCAGGTTGGGAGGACAGTCTTCTGGAAGGGAAAGAAGCACCCTCTGAACCCCTGGTTTACAAGCACTTAGAAAGGCCTAAAAAGGTCACAAGAACCTGGTCTTACTGCTGAGGGGCTGACAGACCCCTATGTTCTTGCAGACATGAAACTCTAAATGCCAGCCAGGGCCTGACCTGGAAATCTTCTCACCAGCAGAGTGGCTTCAGCGTGACAGGGGAATACACTGGTGGCAAAAAACCAGGTTCACCTACGATCAAATGTTTCTCCTGGAAGTTTTAAAGTTAACAGTAAATTTTTTTAAGTGCAGGGGAAAAAAGGACAAAATAACTAACCAGTATGACTACTTGGGTGTGTTTATCTCCTGGATATTATTCTGAGTTACACCATGTTTTATAATGGGCACGTGTTGCTTCATAACGATGCTAATGTTGGGAAGCGCTGCCCATCAACTCCCCAAATATCTCAGCATCTACCACGTGGCAGGAAGTTTTCTAGGTGCTGGAGATGCAGCAACGAACAGGGTAAAGTCCATCTCCTCCCAGGGCTCCCGTCTGGCGGGGGGCGGAGGAGATGCTCTGATGTGAGACAGTGATAGGTCTGGGAGCAAAATGAGCGGGGCAAGAGGATGGAGCGGGGTGAGAGGACGGGGTCAGAAAAGGGCTCTCTGAGGAGGGGACATCGGAGCAGAGGCCCTGCAGCCTGGCTCGAGGGAGACCCAGAGGCCGGCGTGACCGCAGTGGGGTGAGCAGGTGCGGGGCAGTGGGACAGGGGTCTGCAAGCCAGGTGGGGCTGATCGGGCAGGGCTCTCTAAGCCACCAGGAGGCCTCGCAGCCTCAGAGTGAGGGAAGCCTTGGGAAGGCTCGCGCAGACGGCGAGGCGATGCCTAGTTTGACAAACACCGTCCCCTGGGATCCTCCCGTGTTCACTGACAGCTCAGCTCCCACCAAGGCTCTCACCCTCTGGGACTCACCTTCCACTGTCAACTCCACTGTCACCTGGCGGGCACCACTACCATTGGTGGCTTCACAGGTGTACTTTCCCCTGTCCTCCTCACGGACGGCATGAATGACAAGGCTGAAAGTGCCCCGGATGCCGCAGTCCAGCAGGAAGCGGCCCCCGCTGGTGATGGGCTGCCCGTTTCTGTGCCATGTCACCTGGGGCTCTGGGTAGCCCCGGACCTTTAAGAAAAAGAAGAAAGGGTCAGAGCCTGTATTTCATGAGTTCTCACTCTGTGCCAGGTATTGTCCTGAGTGCTTTACAGGTGTTAACGCATTTAACCCTCATAACAACCCTTGAAGTTGATACTGCTTTCACCCCTATTTGACAGATGTGGAGGTTGAGGTATAGAGGGTTTTGGTAATTTCCGGTGTTGAAAGTAAAAACAGGCAGAATCAGGTGTCCTGGCTCCAGAACCCACCATACAAGTGACTCTCCAGCCTGGTTGCATATTAGCATCATCAAGGGGGGCTTTTAAAAGTACCAGTGCCCCGGCCCCACCTTAGATCAGTGAAATCAGATCCCCAGGGGTGAGGGCTGAGCATGGGGATTCTGACGCTAACAGGGCTTCTCATGCTAACATGTGAATGAGTCACTTGGGGACCGTGTTAAAATGCACATTCTGCTTCTACAGGTCTGGGCTGCAGCCTGAGATTCTGTAGCTGGGACAAGCTCGCAGATGCTGCTGGTCCCTGGAGCTGGGAGTAAGTGGCAGGTTCTGGCCCTGCGCTGCCCAGTGGCAGCCACTCTCCACACACAGCGTGGCGCTCTTGTGACGTGGCAAGCGAGACTGAGCTGCACTGGAAGTGTACATCACACACTGGGGTTTGAAGATAGTATTAAAAATGTAAAATATCCCAATAATTTAAAAATATTGATTACATGTTGAAAAGGCAGTATTTTTGATATGTTGGGTTAAATATATTAAGATTAATTTCACCTGTTTCTTTCTCCTTTTTTTTTTTTTTAACGTGGCTACTAGCAAAGTCACAATTCCCTACGCTGCCCCTCTAGTTCACTGGCTCTGCCTTTCACTTTTCGCCTACGATAGTTGGCAGCTGACATTTGCTGAGTGCTAAGTGTTTAGCACTTCAAAGCACTTGACTCATCTGAGCCTCACAGCAACTCTTTCACGGAGAAGATAGCTCCCCAAAGAGGGGAAAATGCAGCGATAAAGCCTAAGAAAAGAATTCACTTTCAGTGCCAGAGAAAGAAAGTTCCCTAAGGGCCCTCGAACACCTGCAACTCAATAGGCCCTTCAGAATGGACTCATCTGGGGAGAAGCAGAGCTCAGAGTGGCTCACTGAAGCATAGCCGAGGACCCAGAATTGTGGAATGTTAGCACTAGACAATGCACAGAAGATTATAGAAAACTCCTGAGAACACATTTGTTTATAATACAAAACAGTGGTAGCAATAGCTTGTATCCACTCCAAGACAAGAGAGAATGGATTTGGATGAAGCAAAACCAAAATTCACTGAACTGAATGACCCTGAAACTGCATTTACAAAGAAAGCCTTCAATGACCTGTAGCAATAATCCTCCTCACACCCCCTGCAAAGCCGTCGATGATGCCGTTTCGTGTGTGGGGAGCACTGCAGTGCACACAACCTGGACATCCAAACACAGTCGCTTCCCTAAGCGTGCTCAAGGAGGAAAGGGCTGTGTTCGAGGCATCGGCGTTGTCTTTGGACTGTGCTCAGTGTCCTTCCCAGGTGTTCAGCCCCCAACCCATCCTAGACCGCTTTGCCTTTCTCTGACAATAGCTGATTCCCAGTTAACCAGGATGTAGATTTCCTTCCAAAGGAAGGAAGCCTCGAATGACAGTGAAAATTACCAAAGTGAACAATCCCTCTTTGGTTTTTCCATATTGTCACGCCTTCAGTGCCAGTTTGTGACTCCAATAAGACTGTCTTTCCAATCAGGCTTCAGTGAAAAAGAAACAAAAACAGAGCAAAGCTCCAAATCAATATTACCCATCTCATTTACAATTTCTAGAAACAACAACAACAAAATAATCCCCTTCCTGAAAAAATCTAAATTATACTCATGACAGAGCTTGAGTACCTGTGAGGAGGAAATGCTCAGATTCTGAAGCTGATTGTCCAAAAGACATGTCAACAATGCCTGAAGCCATTGTAGTCTCACCAAAACAAGCATGCGAGACCTTAGGTTGGAAATGTTGAAGGATACCACATCCATCTGGAGGTGTGAGGTCTCACAGCTGTTATAACATGAAACGAAGTGTTAACAGTGGTTGTCTCTGGGTGGGTAAATTATGGGTCTCTCCTCTTTTTCTTTTTAGTTAACTATTAGTTTGTGATAGTTCTGTAGATAATGCACCTAGCCTTTGTAAAACAGAAAAAAATTAAATTAGAAAATATATTCCTTTTATAGTATATGTTGAATATAGTATATGATGAATGTATAGCACATTCATTAATTTGTTGAGGCCCCCAAGGTGCTTAGCAATGGAATCAAAAGAGCTAGCAATTGCTAGCAATGGAAATAAAAGAGCTATAAAATAAACACTACACATGCTTGAAGGTGACACAGGTTATGCACCCATAAAAAATCATGTCATGTTGTGACTCTATCTGGGCACAAAGGTTCATGCAAAGGAATGTTGGGCAACAATGACCCTATTAAAGCATTCTTCTCATTTTCAGGAAACTAAGGAAAGCCTTTTCCTGCAGACAGAAACCCCCTGGGAGTCTGGTCATACAATGACTCTGCAAATCGTCATCACCTTTTCCTGCACCTGTTAGGCAGGGCTGGCCTGCCCTCTGGAAGATGGTCGCACAGCCTCCTGTCAGCTTCAGAGAAAGGGGGTGCTGAGCACTGCCACTGGGAGGAGGTAAATCATTAACGCACCACTTGCACCCTAGCATTCCTCTAGCTGCAGCTGGCCCGCTCTGGTGGCCCATCAGGCCCTGAGGCATCAATGATTAACTGGGGACACTGAAAGCTTTCCAGATATCAGGGACACCATCCTTCTATCTCTTTTTCTTTTCCCCTCACTTTTTACACATATGTCACACTTATTCTGAAATGCCCTGTTAAAAGAAATATTCAGGGATTTTTAAATATGCTGAAATTGGCATCACTTAAGAAAGCTGCAGTTTGCAAATGGTACTTTTATAGCACTTTGGATCTGAAGCAAAGGCAGGAAGGAATTTCTGTGACCTTGTTCAGTTCCAAGGTCTGAATGATTTGCAACGTCAATACTTGTTCTTCCAACATGGGAAAAATTTGTTCAACCACTACTTGGCATTACCTAAAAATTATTCAACTTCAAGTAAACCCATTTTTACTGCCTGCCCACGGCTCTGGGCTGCTGGGTGGGGAGGGAAGAGAAGCATCCTTGGGACACATGACAACAGCCCTGCCCTCCCGGGTGCCTTCTCTGCTAGCATCGCTGGCCTCCAGTTAGGAAGCCCCAGCTGGGGTCTTCATCAAGAGCACAGTAAAAACCCATGGAAACTTCAGTTTTCAGAGGGTTTCCACATACAGAACTTCATCTGATTCTTACAAGTATGAGGGAGGTGTCCTCGCTTGGGCTACCCAGAAGCAGAAGCTGAGACAGGGCTCGGAGAGCACTGTATGTGAGCCCTCGCCAGCGCCGGGAGCAGCCTGAGGAAGGGGTCTGAGTGTGGCGCCAACAGTGTCTGTAACAGCTTGCAAAGCTAGTCATATTATTAAACCCATATCGCTGAGAAAAGAGGCCTAGAGAAGTGGATGGTTTGCCAATGATCTTGCATGGCAGATCAAGTGGCAGATTTGAGACCACAATTTCAGTCTCCAAGTTGAGTGGCTGTCTCCATGCCTCATGGTAAATTCATGTTTTTGGTGAGATGAGTTCTGCAGAACCCAAACTTCTGATACATATCTCTCTCTAAGGGACCATAAATCTCTTACAGGTGAAAGCAGTATCTGTTTCCCACTTTTGAAAATGTCAGGTGGTTCAGGAAAGATACAGTCACACCATAAGCAAGTCTTGGGTTATTCCCTTGGACTCACAGTAGGACAGGATGGGTGCCAGGTGTATGCCCAGGATGTCCCAGGAGAGTTGGGGTGGTACAGAGAGGACAGTATGTGAGCCAGGGCCTGAGCACCTGGGCCTGGCTTGGCTTCCTAGCCTCTTTGGGCTGGAATTCCTTCCTTTCCTTAAAGAGGAAATTGCTCTCGATAGCTCAGGTTCCTTCTGTGTCTGAAGTATCATGGGTTTAAATGGTGACCCACTTAGCTTCCTGCGAGAGATCCTTTGCTTTCCCTTCCATCCTCCTCTGGGTCCAACCCACAGCCTTCGTACCCTCTAATCCTGCCTATGGGAAACCAAGTGACCACAGGAGAAATGCTCAGGGACGTGAAGAGGCAGCCCTGAGTTTTCACCATAATGAGTTTTTGGAAATGTCCCCAAAGAGGGTCATTCTAAGGAGAGCATCATATTTTAGCCACAGTAACCACGTTTAATTGGAGGTTGTGTTCTTGAACAAAAGCCCGGGTTCAAATAAATCAAGGACATAACCAACAACTTGTCATAAAAGTAAAGATATAGTAACTATAACCCCTACAATAATTTCAAACAGTAAAACTGTGCTCCAGCTCCATAAAATGTCCTCAAAAACCTTTATGGCCTCAAAAGGCCTTTAAAAGGCATGGGGCTCATCCCGTGCTTGCTGACGGTGGAGTGGAGAGCCGGGCTGCAGACAGACAGCTGCATTATGGCTCCCTGTGTCAACTGTGAGACACTGTTCAGTGCTGTCTAGAGATTTACTTCACGACTAAAAGTGAAACATTCTTAAGGGCACTAAGCCTTTGATTTTCTCTAACATATGTCAAGGGCTTTCAACCCATTCCTAGGTGCCTAGCACAGCGTCTCTGTCCCCACAGCCCCTCCAAGACTCAAAGCAACACATCTGCCCTCCCTTAGCTCAGTGTGAGCAGAAAGGGAGCGACTTTGCCACTTTTGATGATCTGCTGCGTGTGTTTCATTCCTGGCGGGGCCTGGTCCAGTGCACACAGTGCAAATCCACACGGCTGCAGGGCTTAGCTGCCGTGGCCCAATGGTCAGCAGCCAGGTGTGGGCAGCAAGAAGGGACTGAGGCTCTGCCCACGTCGGGAATGGAGGAAGAACAACAGGAGAGAAACAGGGTTGAGCTGAGGCCAGGGAGAAGACAG